ACTATATTTTGTTATGTCCCAGAGCATAATGAAACAAAACTTAGTGAGATCTAGGTAGGGATATATAATTTCGAGATTATTTAACCAAAACTTCAAACATTCATAAAATCTGATTAACCATTTTTCCTGAGAAAGTAATAAACAAACAGACATATTTCTCATTAATAGTATTAGTATGATTACGGAAATCACAATCAAAGCGTAATAGCTAAGTCCACCTAAACATAAAGTTGAAAAATTACATTTTCTAACACCATGGGCCGACGGTAATATATAGGAACCCGCATTTCTTAGCTATTTAAGCTGAATGGCTATCAACTCTTCTATATATGGTTATGTATACCTAATTAAATTATATTAAATATCTGTAGCAAAAAGCATAGGGGCACACTAAAGCAGGCTGACGGCGCCGCCGTAGTCGCAATTGCAATCACGCAACTCCGGGAATAGGCGCTTCGTCAGGATACCTTGGAGTTTTTAGTGAACAGGAGTCTCAACGTACCCTCCCGGGGCGGGCGATTCACCATAAGGGATAAAGATTATTATTATTTGTATATTTTGTTTTCTCAGCTTTCTTATGATGGGTTTTTACGCTTATTATTATTATATGCTCAAAATAAAATAAGAGAAGTGAGAGTATTGGTATCAAGAAAACAATTGATCCAGAATGTAATAACTTGCTGGATCAATTGAAATTGTTAATGAGACTGTTGAAGTATCAAAACATATATTGAAAAATTGAAATTTACATTGCATATCATAATAAAGAGTTCGTTTTTTAATTGCCCCCCTTAAAAATCAAAATGCCCTCTTTGGCGCCCACGTTGGGAAACACTGGTGTAGACTCAGTAACAATCGGAAATTGATCACTTATAAGTAAGGTCATGTCATATCAAATCTCCACACTAAATATCATTCTTCTCACACATACTATTAGCATAGTAGAATTAAATAAATTATACTAGTCTTTTAATAAAAAAATTAATACACATGTATCGTTTGAGAATATCAGACAGACACCGGCTATCAACAAAGTTTCTTAATAGTGTGCTAATCAAAGTTACTGATAACAGTGTCATTTGAGGTGATAATGCTATCATAATATTTGCATGATAATATAACGCACCAACGCTGCTAAATGCTAACAGCACAATAATAAAAAATGCAATTACTATTATTGTTAATTAGATTACACACTAGTGCCTGCTGATTTGTAAAACTAACGTTAGATATGATGATAGATATGATTTATATAAATAATTCATTTACAGTCTCGTTGGTCTAACCGTTTAACTAACCTTACTTACGAAAATGCAGGTTCGATTCCTACAGTGCTAACATTTGTATTCTAGGTATATGGTCTGGGTATTTTTATATGTATATTATTACGTATTTACTAAAAAAATTATATAAGTTTTCACGTCAGTAGTTGAATACCCATATCACAGCTCATTAGCTTGGCTCTACGTGAATTGTATAGGTAAAAAACATGTTTTCTTATTTTTATCACAACTTCAAAGTGACTAAAGGAACATAAAATAATTAGGTATTATCTATTTGTTTTTACTGAATTTAAAATTTAAAATATAATGTATCGTTAAAGTTAAATGTAATAAAACCCTTTTACGAACAGTCAATCTACAAAACAATATTTAGGTAGAAATAAAAATGTATAAACATGTGACAGGTACGCATAATGTAATACAAGAAATTAGTCAGAAAGATACACAAGTAAAAAAACTAATACTAAATAGTCGAAGTGGTGTATTTTTAGGGTTTTAGGAAAAAATATAGCGACAATTTAATAATGAGACTAATACGACAGCTGTTATAGAACGTAATAGAAAAAAAGTAATAAAAAATACAATTATAACATTTTAAAAAATGTATGAAGAAGTTCGTTACAACAGTATCATCTGAATGCAAACATTTGATCACTTTGAAAATAGTTCCTACCATTTCCCATGTAGATAAGTATCTATGTAAAAACACTCCCCACTATGGCAGTAGATACAGGAGACAATACCAAATAAATACAATAAGATAAAGCAATAAAACTATATCAGATCTATCTAGATTTACTTTACTAGACAACAAGTAAATATTAGCAGCGTGACTTTCAAGTGCATATACACATTATTTAATGCATTAGATGTATACATAATATTTATTTCTATTGTTGCTACATGCGATATGTGTTGACACTGATAAAAGTTTCTTTAGATATATAAATTACTAAATAATAGCTTTAATAACTGTTACTATGTTATTAAATATCTGTTACACGGAACACATAGTATATTCTGATTTCTCTATCATAACAGTGACTTTGAAATGCCAATAAATTATGAAGAGAAAACACATACATCTTCATAAAACAAACCTATTGATATATTAAAAATGTGAGAAGACTTAAAAGTACAACACGTCAACATTTCATTGAATTATGATATATACTACCTATGGTAAAATCCGTAAATACTCTGGTACTTTGGCAAAGTGATAATTTATTAATATTCAGTAAAAACTTTTGGGATTGACAATAATGTCTCCCTTACAAAGTATTCACTATTTAAGGCAAAGGAGAAATACGCCCTTTGCTGTCTTGTCTCCTTGATTCAGTCACTATTAGGCAATATTTCCAGTTTATATAAATTTATACTCATTTTTAATTTAAAATAAACCTCATTTTCTATCTACTTACATATTTAATTAGTTATGAAAATTACCTGTCTGAAAACATGTTTTTAGATACATATATTTAACGAATAATAAGCAAATATATAATAAACAATTCAGAAAATGTGTAATAAAACCTATTTAGAACATTACAACAAGGAAAAGGCTGTGTGGTATAATAATCTTTGCCTACATGCGAAATTAAAAAATAACAGCAATCAAATTGAATAAGACTTTTCTTTTGATTCTACAGACATTAACATACTAGTAAAATTGCATAGCATCTTTTGATGCAGTTACAAGCAGATTACTTGACTCTTGACTTTGAAGGAAGAAAACGTGTATATTGCCGTGAAAGCTTTTGATCATACCCAAAAAACAGAGGAATAATATCTGTTATTCCATCGCCTGATACATTGCTGTTCAAGTCTTAACTCGACTGTTACCACTTACAATCAGGTGGACTTGTTTGCCATTCCAGTACTTATTGGAAAATATAATATTTTTAACATACTATAAAATTATTAATTAAATCTATAAAAATAAAGTAATTTGTAGTTGTCAATACCAATATATTTTTATTGATACATTTGTTTTACCTCTCAGCCCTGTCTTCCTTCCAATGTTCTAAATAAGATTTATTAAATAATATCAGGATTGTTTATTAGTTCCATAGACAAACTTTTTAAGTGTACATTTAGGCCTACGCTCCTAATTGAATCGGACTTTGACAATACGTCAAATCTATAATATTATGCATATTATTTTAAACAATTATTTAATAAATATTAACATAATTATAATTTGTTGTTATTCCCCTTAAAGGATAAACATACATTATAACTCGGGTTTAATTCAATAATTAATAAAATTGAAAGCAATTAATACAATATTATTGGTTCTGCCTTTAAACAACGTTCTAAGTATTGATTTCATTAATTGGATTAAGATTTTTAATTATGTACATTCATAACTCCTCCATTCCACATAGAGACTTCATAATTCAGAAGTTTCAGAATTAAATTGTGTAATGGGAATGAAATAAAATATAATAGTATTTAAGATAAAGATATGAATATATATATATAATATAAAAATAAAGATAAGAAGCAGGAATTTCAAAATTGAACTGTGAAATTGAAATTATTGTAACTGAATGTGTTATTATTTTTAAATGAATAATTAGAAACTATTATTATGAACTGAACTTTATACTGATTTTGTTATTATTGAAGAATTTCTATTGGAAGTATTATACTATACTATATTGTTTAATTTTTAATAACATTATAAAAAAGACCAGATTCTGTCATAAAGAAAGTAAAACCTGGAACTTCAACTTCAATTTAAGGTTTTCATATTTTAAAGGTAGATACGGCTATCAATCCAGGCCTTGACAGCTTAAGACTAGTGTTATCTTATATTGCATACTTTACGACTAGAAATACAATGAAGAATAGAAAAATTAAAACTGTTTGGCCCTTGGAACATACTAGGAAAATCATTATGGCTCAAAGGCTTCTAAGTTTCGAGAATACTGTTGTTTTATAGATACATTGTCGTGTACATAACACGTGGTACGTGTACATACAAATCAATCACCACAACGAAGCCATAATCAGTATTTAGATTAAAGATCTTCGAATATGCTCACAACTGTAATAATCTCCAGTATCGATATACGAGTAAGAATAAGAAATTAATGCGATATAAATCCACTATTACAGTGTGCATTGATATTTGATAAGGAAAATCGCAGGTATTCATTTCGATGAACAATTTATTCAATAATTGAAAACTGTTCGTGAACACTACAAATTAACTAAAATAAAATATTATCTAATTACCAATTGACTTAGGCTTATTTCAGTAGATAAGTACGTATCATGACCTACCGCAATTAATAAGTCAGTCAGTCGGTCGAGTCTATTGATAACAAATTCCATCTTACATTATAATATATATAATAGTTTCAAATTACATTTTCAAGACCAACTATTGGTTCTAAATAAGGACGGAATATGGATGTGCAAAGATGCAGTTGCTACATGTATCATACGTAAGTATTTATATACATACCCATCATATTACCTAGCTATGTATAATTGATATGCATCATTATAGACACTAGCATAATCTAACACTAACACGTCCTGTGATTACGTACGTAGCCGGCTAGATAGGTATATGTAGAGTAGTACTTGTCATCTGATAACTCGTGCACAAAGCGAGTGCATCAATCAAACAATTAAATAGTAAATACACTGCGCGTGCGCCGCGCAATCACTTATCTTTACTTCACAAAATATGAAAAAACTAACCGGGTTGCTGAGGAGGCAACAGCGGCGGCATGGACGGCGGTGGTGGCGCGGACGGCGGCGGGGGCGGCGCGTACGGGGACACCCCGGGCGACCCTGGCACTGAATCGCAACTGGCCGAGCCCAGGGACCGTGGCGGAGGCGGCGGCACCGGGCTTCTTTGTATCTTCACCGACGGAGGCTCCGGTATATCTAACTCGACCCCGTTAGCTGGCAACCCTGACTCCAGCGCGCGCGCTCTCGCCCTCGCCTCGTCCTGTGCCTGGGCGCGCCTCAACGCTGTCTGCAGCGCCATCACCCGCTGCCTGTCAGCAGTCAGCCGACACTTCTCGCATATACAGTTGCGGTACTTGCAGTACCGCTTGTGGCCCTTCAGCTCTATCTTCAGGCGGTGGTTGCGACAGCGGGCGCAGTTGGGGGGGGCGCGCGGCACGGCGGAACTGGAGGCGCCAGGCTCTGAACGCTCCTCGCAGTCGTCGGGCGCGCGGCGCCTCCACGCGCCCACGGAGACCATGGCTCGGATCTCGTGTTCAGACGTGTTCGCGGTAACCGGACGCGATCAGATCGACGCACACGCGACACAGTGCGCGGTCTCGACACGACTGCCGGCCCCGCCGCCCCGCCGCCGCCGGTGCATCGCGCCCCGCCCCGCCCCGCGCCCCGCCGCGCAACGCGGCTGCATTTATTGCAGTGCCAATGCAAGTACGCAATTCCTTACGATTTAGTTTTATCTTCACGCCGCGAACACTATCTTTAGTTAAATTATCACTCATAAAAATATTTGATCGTTTCAGAACACGAAATGAAAGCGGATTATTACAACACCTGGAGCCACAGAATAGATAATAACTAAGTAATACATATGTAGACGCGATGTAGTGCAAGATTCGTATTATATTGTTTGGCGTGGCAGAACTTTTCCAAAACAATAATTATTTCACACTCTCAATAAAGACAGCCTCGTTGGTCTAGCGGTTAACACCACCTTACTTCTGTTGTTCGCGGGTTCGATTCCTCACACTATGCACACATTTGTATTCAACAGTTATTTGTATTGGTCAGGATGTTTTGTATGTATAAAACACTAAGTATATAAGTATTTCTATCAGTTGTACCCATAAGCACTGCTTACCTTGGAACTAGATGGCGCTCTGTGAATTGTCTAGGGTTATTGTTTGACCCGATTGAACACAGACCTTCCTCATAGACTGCCTTCAAAAACCATGCGGTACTAACTTCCTACGCTAATAATCTTATCCATCGTCGTCGTGTCTATGCCGCACGCGGCATAGAAAATAAACAAGTACAACTATATATAATAACATTTACTATTCCAAAAAATATATTTACTTACATAGAGTCATCCACGCTGATACCTAAAATGAAAAATTACAATAAATCCTTATTTATTACATACTATGACTGACAAAGATTGAGTGTCTATGTGTGTGTTTTTACTTTTCACTATTAAACAACTGTACGGATCTTTATGAAATTTGACATGAATAATAGATTGTATCACGAGCATGGACATGGATATGCAAATTTTTATCAAAAACGAAACAGACTAAGTCGCGGGCAACAGCTAGTCTATCAATAGATTACACTGTTGCAAATTTAAATTGGCACACTAATAAATGCCCCGGCGCTGCGTGCGCGGTGCACTTCGTACGATCGCGTGCAACAACGTAACGCACACATGCACGGCGACCGCGTGCCGCGTGTACACACCGCTATCCTTCACATGTGTGCGTATTGGCCTTTGATTGTGTGCGTGAAATTTTTCTTTACGTCATTCAAGAGATTTTGGCGCTGCAACTCAATGAGAATAGAATATAGTATTTTGTTACTTTAATATTAGTGCTACGCTACTAATAGCGCGACGCTAGGACCACATGTCCTTGAGAAGCGCGAAATTTTTCTTTAAGTTATTCAAGAGATTTTGGCGTTGCAACTCAATGATAATAGAATATAGTATTTTGTTACTTTAATATTAGTACTACGCTACTAATAGCGCGACGCCAGGACCACATGTCTTTGGAAGTGTGAAATTTTTCTTTACGTCATTCAAGACATTCGTGGAAAAAGGAAGTAAGTGATTTTCACCAACTTTTCAGGAGCTTAAAAAAACTGTTAATATTTTTTATATGAGTTCTAGAAATAAGTTTCAAAGAGAAAATCGTAGGTCACAGTTGCCTTCAACTACATGTGTCATTTAATTTAGGAACAGCTTCATGTACTTCCAGATAATCTAAAAAAACACGGTTACTTCTGTATTCCACGAAACACAAAGAACAAAGGGTAACTACAATTATTGCTTTATTGTTATGTATTTTTAAATATATGAACAAATTTAACTCTACTTACGTCTTTATACTCTCCTATATTTCATTAAAATCTAGAATTGCAAGTATAATTACGTTGTTATTTAACGAAATATCATTTTTTGTACATCGAGTTACGTATTTCTGGAGCATTTATTTTAGTTTAGTCGGTGTATTTATAAAAATAGCTTTTATAATGCGGAAAGTAACTGAATATTTAATTTGTATAATGTAATACCTACTTCTTACAGTAAATAGTCCATTATGTGCGTGCATGTAAGTCAAAAGTATAAATATAGGGGCAAATTAATTTAGAGAATATGAAAACAAACAGGGTTATTATTAATTTATTATTATTTTTAAAGAAATGTTTATTGCCTCCATAATCAACTTAATCAAAAAATGTTCAAAATAGTGATATTTTTATTAACGTTCATTATCCTCAACTTTTGAATCGGACTCTGTGGTTTAGTTTAGTTTAGTCTTAGATTTAGTACTAAGTTCTTATAAAACGTCTGATAGTTTTTTTTTATTTTTATTCTTTATATAGATAACGTACAAATATTGTATATATTTTTATATCGGTAACGGTGCATCATACTAATGCTTGATTTCAGAAGGAGTCGCTGTGTGCAGCTCTTTTTTTCCAAATAACTCTTCCCCTTCTATTTGTCTATTATTTGGTGTCTCATCAGCGAAGTATTTTTTTGGAATTAATCCCCGGACATTAAAAAATACAATTCTTTGACTATATAAAAAATGAAAAAAATAAACAGAAAATATGAATTTGAAGAGAAAATTTAAAGATCAAAACATCATATTTCAGTGCGATGATTGTTTCAAAATATAATATATTTATTTAATCAAAATTAAAAATGTTAGTTTTATTATTTATTAAAAAACCATTAGGACGGGTATCGATAAATCTATTTAAAATTTTTTCAGTGGCATCATAGTTATCCAAATTTTGTAAGAAAGCAAGATCTTGTGTTTAAGTCAATCTTGGAAATATTGGACATTTGAAGCTCTTTAATTTCGTAACGTTGTCCTGAACGAGTATGTGCTAAATCGATTGACCAGTCTCGGTTGTTTAGCGCCAGGAAGCTTTTCCATCATGGTTTGCAATTGGTGACAATACACATCTGCCATAATATTCTGGAGATTTAAGAATGCGAAATGAACACACAGGCATATATAGTGCTCACAAGTAACTTTTTTGAGTTTGAATTTTCGCTTGGGGCAGGATTTGGTTAGAATGCTAGGATTCAGCCATTGCGATGAGTGTTTCCGATTATCGTACAAGATCCACTTTTCATAATTGAAATGATCCGATTTAAAATCCTTCATTATTATGCAGTTATGCTAATAACGCAGCAGTCTACGCGCGTTTGTCGATTTGCTCCATTCAATTCATGATCTTTTCAATCTTTTTTCACCTTCCCAATTTGCTTCAAGTGGATTAAAACAGTTTTGTTCGATTTAACACTGCAGATGCAGTTAACTCGGACGTGGTTATCGATGATCCGCTTCCACATTAGCCTTTAATTCTTCATTATCAACCTTGGACTCTGTTTGCTCACGGGGCTTGTTTTGAATAATTTCCAGAACGAAAACATTGAAACCAAAACGCACCGTATTTTCTTTTGAAACACCATCGCCATACACATCATTAATTCTTCGAGCGTTTCTGCACACTGGTGCCACGACGGAATTTGACTCTTAAAAAACGCGATATTTTATGTTTTCCATTTTGTAAACTCAGTGACGTAAAGAAAAAACCAAAGATGGAAAAAACATATAGATTACGGTTTTCGAAAAACAAATACATGAGTAAATAACTGTACAAATTTGAACTTTGAATTCCTGGCGAAAGAGGAGATATTTGAGATCAAAGTGGCCAGTACGATAAAACGCCAAATTCATATGTAAGCACCTAATATTATAGTACCATCTCTGAGAGGTTGGAGTAACATATATAATCTGGGTTTTTCTTAATGCATATAAGTATAAACTATGCATTTTGAATTATCTCATTTCATCTAGAATTTATCATTGTTAGATTGCGGAGATAATGCGATTCTTTATGTGTAAACATATTAATTTGATCAATGACATGTTTGGTTTACTTCTTATTTTGATTGGTCTATTAGTATGTTATCAACAACCTTATCGATTTGGACCACCTTCATCGTTAACTGAATCATAAAAAAATGATAATAATACATACATCGAACTCCTACATTTCCTCCTTCTACCATCAACTCCTACATTTTAATAGCGATATTAGTTCTAATATAAGTTAAGACGCAGATGTCCGGCACCTTCCTTTTTGCAAAATGAACCGACGATATCACGAAGGTGACCGGGAGTCGATGGAAACAAAAGGCGGAAGATCGCACATGGTGTAAGAAATTGGGAAATAAATAAATAATACTCAACAATTAACAGCGCCTTCTAGTCACACGGTATTAAGAGCTTGTGTTATGGGACAACATCAGTTGTCCCATTATGGGCAGTGGGAATTAATATTGAATATTATTGCTAGCAATATAAGGTACATTTAGTTCCACGCGGTCCATCCTGGAAACCATCGTTAGTTAATTCCTGTTAGACCTACAATAATATTCACTGGCAATTGTATATTCGTTTATCCATATTTAAAATAGAAGTATTCTTTTTATCTATTGTTTTTATATACACTTGTATCAATTCGCTCTTCTATGGTAAATGTCTAAAAGCAGATCGATTTTTCTATCATTTATTATTACTATTCCGGGTAAATTCATCTGATCTCCTGCTCCTCCTATCATCCATCATTGGTGCGCCGTCAGCTTATACAATTAGCTAAAAATAGTTTATTTTTTTACTTAATTTTAATTACATGAACATATTCTTAATTTTTTTTTTTCTTGTAAATACATGCTGTATTTAAAATTACCCAACATCAGGTATGAAATGTTACGTGTAATAAAGGTAACTACAACTACACTTTACGCATTGTGAAGTTCTTTTGCTGGGGGAAAAGTATGTAACAATAATCACACATAAACTATCAGCTAAAAGTTTCTTAGAAGAAGTAAGTAATTAGAATTACACAATAGTCCTAGATTGTAAGATATAGGAACAAGTATTTAAGTATATTTGCGTTAAACATTTTTTTGTAAATCTTCTTTTAAAATTTAGGTAAATACAATTATGACTTTATGAGCGGGATAATTGTAAAGCGAATAAATGCAAATATGCATACCTCTATTTTAAGCTGGAATTTTATGTTTTCTAAAGTCGCAAAATTTTAGTATTTTTGCATTTATTCCTTCATTTTTGTCGATAGCTTCATGAAATTTTGACAGAAGGTGTAAACCGCGAACCTCGCTTTAT